CAATATAACAAAGAGTGAAAAATTTAAGGGGGTCTGAATACTTTCCGTACCCACTGTATATATATGGGTGATTCTTAGACTATGGGCACTTTTATGTTCTTTGGTCAAGTTTTTTTTATTCAACTTCACAAGGATAAAAGTGCCCCTAGTTGAAGAAACGCCCATATATATATGTGTGTGTGTGTGTGTGTGTCAGTGGCCCAGCATGAGAAAATGGACATGTGGTGTGAGATCATGAGAACAGTGTCAGTTGCATGATTCTCATGCTGAATGTGTGAGAGATGCAGCCCTGCTTAAATGAAGTGTGATTTAACATGAGACTATTTAATCCGATTGTCAAGAGTTACGATTTTGTTGCATATAATAAAATGAAAAATGAAAACAATAAGCATTGTTTTTGAGATTACTGTTTAAAATGTCACATTTATTTGCATTCTTTAGTTTGTAGTATTTTTAGTATGTAGTGTTGGACAATGTTGCCCTAAAAAAGTGTTGTTTAGATCAGTGTTTCCCAACCGGGGTGCCGTGTAAAAAAATCTTTTTTTTATATTTTTAAATTTCTAAAATGTTCAAAAAAGCAGCTATTATATAATATCCTTTGCTTAATAAAAGCCTCCTTTGAGATCGTTTTGACAGACATGTTTATTGTGCATTTTAAACGTGTTTATTGCTAAGTTTAGTGTGGCAAAATAGAAGCGCAGCTGTAATTCGTGGGCTTATTCGTGGTAGCCCACAGATCCTCCCTCCTCAACCACTTAGAGTGCTTGGGGCTCAGGGGCAATTACGCCAAAAGCTCAATGATTCCCAGCCAACGAATCTCATTTCTGGGGGCTGTCTTCGACTCAACCCAAATGAGAGCTGTAGCCTCGCCGGAACATGTCCTGGCTATACAGCGGCTGACGACCACCTTCACGATTGGCGCGTCCCTTCCTCTCAGAGTGTTTCAGAGGATGCTGGGCCTTATGGCCTCTGCATCGCCAGTACTGCAGTTAGGCCTCCTTTGCATGTGGCCTCTTCAACTGGCTGAAACCCCTGGTTCCATCCCGAGCTTGGCGGGAACCGAGGTTACGTTAGTAACCGAGTACGTTTTTTTCTGACACGGATATTGGATTGCTTCTCTATCCAGCATGCATTGCTTAAACGGTTTTATGCAACTATGCAAGCACAAATCAATTCAATTTGTGACTCACAAACTTTAAATGGCCTATTAACCTCAACAGCTGTGCATGGAAAATGAAATTGGCCTGAAACCTGTCATCATGACACAAAAAGCAGTCTGCGAGTCTGCAGCTCTCCCTAGTGGAGGTTTCTTATAATAATATCACAGCTTTCTTTGTTCAAACAGGTCAACATTTGTCCAGCATTCATGATAGTGTTTACCTAAAGCCAACAGACAGACAAACAAGCACAATTGCCTATTGTTACACAACAAAGATTAAATCCGATGAGAAAATGAATCCATGAAGAATCAGCTCTCAATTAAACGAGTCTGATTACAAAGAGCAATAAATTTAAATATTTGGTGACGAATATAAAATAAAGATGAAACCTCATAAAAGAAATAAACATACCCGGATCAAATAAGAAGGAGTAGCCTATAAAAATAAGATATTTTATCGCATGTAGTGTGCAATATTATGTATATCATCCAATAAAAACAAATGACATCTGCAAGTTTTGTTTACAATAAATCATGTGCATTTGTTCTTTAAATAAATAATGTATCACATATTTTAGATATTTCTTTTGTTCACCTATTTATTATATATTTTAAAGTTGGTTACTATTTAGTGTGTTCATTTGAGGAAGAAGATGCTTACCTTCAACTGTATATGATGCCATAAATGACATCTGCTGTCTGTCACAATATTTACCCTGATGGCGATAAAGTGGTAGCGAATATATTTAACTAGGCTACTCATAACTAACGTCACAAAAGCAACGTTGACACAACCTATTTAATATTAATTAACTGCCAATTCGCCATTGGAAGTGAATTCAGCATAATCTAATTAATATTTATAATCACATCGAGGAAACGTCTGCATGGCCTAATTAATATTCATGAGCCAAACCCTCGTTCACTTCAGCAGGATTCGTCATTTCCCAAAGCGGCAGGCTTGAGCTCGGCTGTGTGAGAAGCACTCAGAAACACAGCCCTACATCGCATCAAAAGATGAAAATGTAGACATGTATCAGAAGATGCGCACATCGGAGACACAACACACCATCGACTGATGACGATGGAAGACGGACTGGTGTCTGAAGACGATATTTGTGAGTGTTAAGATACTGAAAAGAAAAAAATAGTGACAGTGTTGTAGTGCGGTACGGACACTAACTAGGGCAAGTGAGAGAAATAAGGTTATATTCAATGGCTAAAATATTCATCATCTCACTGTATTATGTGGCTTATAAAACTAACTGTGGCTAATAAATAGTTATTAATAAAAATGGTATTATATAAGACTAAAGAGACTTGTTTACTAAGGCTTTGTTGGATTCTTGAACATATTTACAGACGAAAATGTATTTGTGTGATCACTGATCCTGCTGATTTTGTAATTTTATACATTTTTAAATTGTGGGTCATAGCTTAATTATGTGCAAAATTAGGATAGAATCTAAAACCTAGATTGAAATGATCTCTCAAAAGTGATGAGAAACATTAGATATGAGTACTGCTGATGCATGTGGACAATCATGGATCATGCTCATGTTTGTACCTGTATATACACACCACACTGTATAGAACTCCTGTCACCTTCCACTCTTATTTCACGCCAGTGTTTCGCTCCGAGAAGGAGTTTCATGATGCTGCAAAGAGGAACGACACGGAGAGAATGCAGGAGCTCATCAGAAGAGGGGTGGACATCAAAGTCAAAAATAAGGTGAGATATAACCAATACAGAAACATATGAACAGTGCAAATCTACATGCAAGGAATGGATTATGCGCAATATACTAGACAGTCTAAAGCAGTCTTTCTAGTAAAATATGCCCTTGGAATGGTTTAAAATTGGCTCCTTGACCAGATTTGACTAAAATAAGATGTAATAATAAATATATATTCATTTAAATAAGCAAATAAACTATGATGTACACTTCTAAACATGGTGGCACGGTAAAGAAAGCCGAGCGGAGCATGCTGAATGTACAGGAAGCCGTGTTGCCATCCACCATGCCAATTTCTCCGCCTGGAATGTTTTGTTTTTCCCAGTTATGCACCAGAGTGACGGAAACACGCATGTTGTGGTCGTCAGCACAGGATATGACCTTTGTTTTACCCTAGACAACAGTATTTATCATCTAAAACCATGGCAAAGACAATGGCTCTTGAGTCAGTGTGGATGTTTCATTTTTTCATGTGATTCTGGTTTTACAGATGGACCGTAAGGCCTTGCACTGGGCAGCAGGAGCCGGCAGTGAGCAGGCAGTGCGTCTGCTGCTGGATCACGACATGGAGGTGGATGATATGGACAGCGTACGTGTCAAATGCATTTTGGTTGAGCGCTGCCACACTGTGTGCATAAACAGGGAACAGGTTCAAATTTAGTTGCATTTTAGGCTGAATATTTTATGTTCCGTGTTTATTTACTACATAAGCACAAATAAGTGAAATACTGCTCCACTGAATAAATCTTTAATGGGCTGCTGTTCGTTCACCATGTGGCCTGTAAATTACTGAAGGCTATGAGCTTGTTACACCAACAATGATTGAAGAGACAAAGAGTAGCCCTGAAATGCAAGGCAGAACTTTTTTAGATAATTGAGTAGACTAATATGTGCCTGGGGATTTTTTTTTTAATGAGAAAATATAATGATTAAGTTTTAGATTTAAATGTATATAGACGTATAAGTAAAAGTGTGTGTTTTTTTGTTTTTTTTTGGTTTATGTTGTATGTTGTAACTGGTCATCGTTTTTGTATCCTCTTTTTTTGCAGTTTACATAAATACTCCTACCATGTGACAATAATTGTTTTTATAGTAAATATTTTTTCATATGCTAAAAGCTGAATGCATAATATTTAAATTATTTAAAATTATATATACAGAAAATCTTTAAAAAAAAAATTTAAATAAAAATATTATTTTTAATTTATTTTAAATAATTATAGGATGTCAAAGAATTTTAGTGTCATTACATTCCACATGCCTTTGGTAAAAAAAAAAAATGTGCGCACAAACTTTTCACACTGACCGCAAAGAGTGGTCCATGAAATGCAAGGGATAATTAAAACATCAAAATTTAATGTAAGATTAAAATGAATGATAATGTGTAAGTGAAAGATACTCTAAATGGTCAACATTTTTTGATCACATTTTTGTTTCTGCAGTTCATGTAAATGGTCCTGTGAAGTGCCTTTCATTTTTGAAATACAAATTTTCCATGTAGTCCCTCAAGTAGTATTGTGGGCATAATTATCTTAATTATAACGCATGCCGTTTTATTTTATTTTAAATTAAAATAATATTAAAACATGCTATTTATAAATATTTTGATGAAGTATAGCTTGTCTCACTATGTCATTCCATATGCTTTTGGTGAAAAAAGTAAATTTAGCTCCATTATTTAAATTTTTACATTTATGCATTTGGTGGACACTTTTAAGTGACTCACAGCAATACATTCAAGCAAGCAATACATTTGACCAGAATGTTTATTCCCTGGGAATCAAACCCATGTCCTTAACCTTGCTAGTAGAAGTTTCTACACATGCATTGCTGTTCATGAGCCACTGGTAAACTCATAACTGGAATGCGATTGTTAATCATGTAATTAAGGAAGTGTCACTTTAGGCTAATACTGTTTTTCAAAAGTTGTTTGACTATGTGTATATGTATATTCTTTTGTTTTCCAGTTCGGTATGAACGCTCTGCTCTTGGCGGCATGGTTTGGTCACCTCTCAATCCTGAAGATCCTTGTCTCAACTGGGGCGAAGCTCACCTGTGAAAACAAAGTAAGACTCTATTGGCAAAAATCCTTGTCAAGTTTCATATATCTTTTATCTGAGCACTCGATGTGCTCCGCTCTCTCACGGTTGACTGTGCTCTTGACGAATAGCGTTCTGAAGCCGTTCTTTAAAGACCACTAACCAATACAAATGAGATTGATGTGTGTACTGGCCTACATTCAGGTTTCAACATTCATTTCAGTGCGTCTCACTGTCTCTTTTTTTTCTTTCAGAATGGCTTGAATCTCTTGCACTGTGCTGCACAGAGGGGTCACATCAGTATTTTGGAGTATATTATGGAAGATCTGGAAAACGTGCAGCTTAATAAAGTCGACAAGGTGAGAATCTCATGTTTTGCCACAGTGCCCATGATCTTGAAGTGTAATGTCTTTTAATTGTACCCTCAGTTCCCTGCTAAAAACTAGAGCCCAGACAAAGTTTAGAGACAGAATGGGTTTTGTTTTCCAATGTATTGTATCTACAAGAACATCTTAAGGTGCTTTTACACTAGTTGATACAAATATGTAAGATCAGCTTTGTGGGTGTTGAAGGTGGTGGTCAGTTTTACAGAATTTGTTTAAGGTTATGTTTGCTTACATTTTGATCACATGACATTTTGATCATCACTTTCCGAAAATGTTTGGGGTTTTCTTCCACATACTGTATTTGCTGACGCTTTAAAAAAAAAAAAAAGATTTGCATACAACATAAATGTTGTAAGTCTTTTGAGGCTCAGTTTTATGCACTGATTCAAAGTAGAAAGTAAAAGTAAAAGTAGAAAGTAGAAGATAGGTGTTTTCATCAGAGAGACTGATAACGACTGTGTTGATTGCACAGTGTTCATGCAAATACCAGTTAAACATTATCAAGGAACGGCTTTAAGGAAGGAATTGTCCTGAGTTTTGTTGACTTAAAAAGCAGGCAGTGAACAGGAGCTGTCAAGCTTCGGAAAGGACAAATAGCTTCATGAAATTCAAATGTAATTTGTAAACAGTAGGACAGGTCAAAATTTTGTCCATGAAGAGTTTATTGGATCATTTGTTTGTGTGGATTGATTTGCTAATATGATTTTTCTCTGCCTTGGTTAGAAATTCAATTCAGAGGTGAAGAAAATAAATGAATCATGCACAGTCAGTATGATTTTTTTTACCAGATGTCGGTAATAACACAAGTAATTCATACAAAGAAAACAAAACAAATAAGTTCAGAAATTAAGTTATATGTGATAAAATTGAATGACCCAGGGGAAAAGTATTGAACACATGAAGAAAGGGAGGTGCAAAAAGGCATGGAAAGCCAAGACTCCAGCTGAAATCTATCAGTGATTAGAAAGCAATCCTGCCCCTAGTCAGAGGAAATTAATATTAGCTGCTTCAGTCCCAACACCTACAGTACCAGGATGATGAAGATGAAACAAGGGTGGACATTTCAGCAAGACAATGATCCCAAACACAGCCAAGGAAACTCTCAATTGGTTTCAGAGAAAGAAAATAAAGCTGCTAGAATGGCCCAGCCAATCACCTGACTTGAATCCAATAGAAAATAAGAACTGAGGATCAGAGTTCATAGAAGAGGCCCACAGAACCTTTAAGATTTGAAGACTGTTTGTGTGGAAGAATGGGCCAAAATCACACCTGAGCAATGCATGCGATTAGTTTCTCCATACAGGAGGCGTCTTGAAGCTGTCATTATCAACAAAGGCTTTTGTACTAAGTATTAAATACATTTCAGTAGTGCAATACTTTTTCCCTGCGTCATTCCATTTTATTACAAATAACTTAATTTCTGAACTTATTTGTGACCCTGGACCAAAACCAGTCATAAGGGTCAATTTTTTGAAATTGAGATTTATACATCATCTGAACGCTGAATAAATAAGCTTTCCAAATGTATGGTTTGTTGTGATAGGGCAATATTTGGCTGAGATAAACTATTTGAAAATCTGGAATCTGAGGGTGCAAAAAAATCAAAATACTGAGAAAATCACCTTTAAAGTTGTCCAAATGAAGTTCTTAGCAATGCATATTACTAATAAAAAATTAAGTTTTGATATATTTACGGTAGGAAATGTACAAAATATCTTCATGGAACATGATCTTTACTTAATATCCTAATGATTTTTGGCATAAAAGAAAAATCTATAATTTTGACCCATACAATATTTTTTTTGGCTATTGCTAAAAATATACCCAAGCGACTTAAGACTGGTTTTGTGGTCCAGGGTCACATTTGTTTTGTTTTCTTTGTATGTATGAATTACTTTGAATTACTGAAAATTTCATGTCAACAGTACCTTTAGAAATATATTTACTGGGAAAAATGGTGACGTGTTCAATACTTATTTTATTAAACCCGCTGTATTATGAATGTCAACAGGGTCAATTTTGATGTCTTGTTGTCTTAAAACTCTGATTTAAGTTTTTCCAGTTGTTGTGAATTGTGCTACTCATTACACATGAGCTTATGAGATTTATGCCCCGTTAGGTGTTCTGCAAAGTAGATCAATAATACGAATATCACACAATCAATGTTCTCGAGTAGTTTCATTGTGCTTTGTCAAAACATCCCTGCTGAAAAAAGCAATAGAAACCATCAGAGAATTTGTAATGGTTTTACTAGTTATAATGGGAATTGTATTGGTTTTCATGGAAACTGTAATGGACCCTGTTGGTCTCTACTGGTAATAGGTTGCCTTCTATTGGTGGCTTGTTAAAATCACTAAATCTTAAAGGTGACATATCATGAAAATCTGACTTTTCCAGGTTTTAAGTGCTATAATCAGGTCCCCGGTGCATCTACCAACCAGGGAAACGTGAAAAAGATGAACCCAGTAACTTTGTTTTGGTAAGCCTTTTTCTGCAAGTGTCTGAAAAAACGATCACGTCTGATTTCGCTCCCCTAGTGACGTTACAAAGGGATCTCATTATAATATTACCGCCCTTTAATCTGTAAGTTTCCACCCACGGCGCCCTCATTTTGATTTTGCAAGCAACAAAGGTGTACCAGTTCTAATGCCATGGCGAAAGTTTTACCAAAACATGCTAACTGTTCTGTCATTGGCTGCACAGACGAGCACAGAACACTATTTAGAGTCCCAGCCTCAGAGGAGACAACAGAGCAGTGGATTTATTGATTTATTTACTGTACACTGTGCTGCTGCCACACAGATAAAAAAAAACATGCAATTTATTTCTCAGCTGTTTACCTTCACAGACTGTTTTTACCGTAAACTTGTGTGTGAATAAGAACTTAGTTTAGTACTCACATGCTGTGACATCCGCTTTCTGTCCGTGTGCACTCAGAAAACTCAGATATTTCAGAAGTTTAAACTAATATGGTTTAAAACACATGATTTCAGTGCGATAAACATGATAATCAGAAACAAAAAAGATGTTTTAGCAGGTACGAGCTGTAATGGCGCAGCTCTATTCTGGAAAAAGCTCATTTGCAATTAATGAGACGGGCCCAAAAAAACAGCGTGTTTCTGCTTCCACTCAAATTAGGCATTTTTAAAATTATTTAATAAATGATCTGTGGGATATTTTGAGCTGAAACTTCACAGACACATTCTGGGGACACCAGAGACTTATATTACATATTGTAAAAAGGGG